AAGGCCCCTCCTGAAATATATATATCGGGCCGTCAATCGACAAGAGCTCCGGAAATACAACTGCCTAAAAATCCATGCTTTCATTCGCTGTGTTATCAGCAAAAATTATCACGAAACAACAAATGATGAACCAAGATGAACACAGTGGAATTGTAAAATTCTACTGCCCAAATGCAAGAATCACAAATCATCTTACCCCTACACTTGAAAATCAGGTACTAAAGAAAGTAGGTATTAAAGAAAGTAAAAGAAGTTTGTGTACGTGCTAAAAACTTAACCCGACGCCATAAACGATACAATTTATTTTTGTAATAAAAGACCTGTTTAGTTCTGCGAAAACTTCTATTCAATAACAATATTCTTTGAGCTATTCTTAGGAGCAATTTTTGAAGTCGCCTTTGTTGAACCTGCTCCTTATCGTTATTCATTCTCTTAAACCCAATTTTGAACCGCGCTCACCTCACTTCTTACCCAGTGTCAAAGCAGAAGAAAAGATCCAATAACGTTATGAGTAGTTTCTGTAGCAGTTTCAGCATCAGTCTGAGGAACAAATAACTAGCAACTCGCTTCATTTGAAGACAAACTTAAAATTTCAAACCACCGTGCTGCTGCAAATTTTAGTAATGCTACATCCAGATTAATTATCGTACGACTAACCCCTAGTGGAGAGAAACAACAAGTTGAAAGAATCCCCGCAAGTACTTCCAGAATTTCCAAGCGACAACCAGTCAATCCTACTTTGCAATTAGAAGAAATGGCGAAATGCTTTCAGCAAAAAAGACGTGTGATGAAACTTTTAATAAATTCCCCCTGACCATTCTGCGTCAGCATTCGACAGAACCTCTACATCTAAACGAAAATGACGAGTATACTTCTTGTTCATCATTGTCAATTTTGTCTAAAACGATGCATGCAAAGGCCTGCTTACTGCTAAAGCCAATTACACACCGCTACCCTCTCCAAACAGTGTTTTAGCCATGATAGTTCAAACACCTAACATGCACAAATCTCTGACAGCCCCGAATAATTGCATAAACAATAACAATTCGCTGGTATTGACATGTTCACAACTGCGCTGGCTTAACAAGTAGCGAGCGATCTACTAATTGGTCCAACATCAATCCAATTGCTGCAGTAGCTACACCATCAGTAAGAGCAGCATTTGGATAGTTAGCATTTTCGTCTTCTTACAACTGCTGTTAGTTTCTAAATTTGTTATTCAAATTAAACAATTTATAACCAGTCAGGGTCTCAACACAGAACTTGCAACTTCGTGACTTTTGGGTACTTCCAATCCTCCCTCCTCGCAAAACAATTTCTCTCACATACTTGGCAAAGAACGGTTTATTTTAAAAATAAAAAACCTCTACTTTAAGAAAACCATGTTTTATTCTGGAATCAAAAGTTGGGGTCTACTTTCTAGGGTTAACATTGAATAACAAATTTATTTGCTTATACTAAAATTTCTGAAGGCTTGAAGAGCATCCTTCTGCAACCTTCGTTATTCAAACTTGCTCTCATTTACGATTCACCTCAAAAATATATAACAAAAAAGGGCAACTTTACGAGCCCAAGAAAAAATGATAAAAATTTTATGATAATTATAAAAAGCACCTGTCTTTGAGCCGAGCATCAGCTGAAGAAGATCGTGAATCAGCTCAATTTGTGTTGGAGTAGCAAAAATAAATAAGCCATCTAATTCGAGACGGATTTTCTGAAAACAGAAGATGATGACATTCATTTAAAAAAACGCTAGTCTAGTATCATTTTTGAAACATTTTGTTACAGCAGAACAAGACAATTAAAACAGAGGGAATTAAAATGAGATGATATAGAAAGGCAATCAACTAGCAAACTAGAAGAAAGTCTTCAAGCACAGTAGAATAAGATTTTCAGCACCTGGTTGGGAGGCTTATCCCTCTTGTCACCCCCACTGATATGAATGTAAACAGACTGCTTGTCACCCGTGAACTCTGCAAACTGGATTGGGTTTGAATTCAACCTGAAATTCTGCTAAGAGATACTAAATTAGATTAATGAATACCAGGCCCACAAAAATCAGCATCTACTTTAATGATTAGAAAATCTGACTTAACAACTGCTGGAAATGCGATAGAATTCAAAATGACACTGTCATCTGAAGAAGGCCCGATACTGGAATAACAAGAAAAAAAAGCCGGCTGAGTAACTGAATCCTCAAAATTGGGAGGTACAGGACTCAAATTCTTTAATGCAGGAGAGGAAGGCTCCTTAAAAAAAGCGTTATCAATCAAAAATAGCGCTTCACCAACCACAACTACCCAACTGCCAAAAAAAAGCAGCTATTTAAAATTCGACAATTTTAAAAAAAGGTTTATAAAAGAAAAATGAACATTAATAAACAGTAAACAGCAATTAATTAGAAAATATACTCCGCTTTTTGCCACTGGACCTTCAGGTTGAGTTTCCTCATCGTTCTCTTTATAATCTCTGCAAACAAGAATACAGAAAAGAGCAGAATAATCTATCACTATGATACAAAAAACAAAAAGAAAAGCAAGTTTGTCACACTTGAGCGCAAAATTAACAGTATACTGAAATTAACATATGAAGACTAGAGTTCTTTACTCCAACTAAGTTTCGGATAAACCGATATACAGTACCACAAGACGTAAATGGTATTGAAATAACACTCCCGTAAGTCATCATCAAATACAAAATTATATTTAAAAAAACTTCAAAGCTGATTTTAAAAATTATCAAGAAAATATTAGCGTGAGATAAAAAGGAAAAAAATATTCGAAAAAAAAAGATTTGAAAATTTTTATAACAAAAGTACTTTTTAATGAGAAGAAAACTGCAACTGAACTCACCGAAAAAAAATATCTGTGAATAACCGAATTCCTTTCGTATGGATAACCTTATCCAAGTTAGCCATACCCCTCGTCGGCATCGGTTGTTCAAGCACCGTTCGAGTTGTTTCATAAAAACTGTTATCAACAGAATCTTTGTCCTCTGAGATCTTAGCTGGGGAATCACATTCATTGTTTGAGAGGTCACCACCACTCAATGGTTTCTTTCCTTGTTTTTGATCCATTTGCCCATCAATAAATTCTAAGCTAAACACAACGCGGTAACCCAACAATGATAAAAATGTAAGGTAGTCAGAACTCAAACCATTCAATCTGGAGCTCGATACATGTACACAAGCCCGATGTTGGTTCAGGATAGGTTTCTACACGAATGGTGGTATCGAGGAATACCACACGTAGTTGAGAAGCCAAACGATCAATAATCTGTTTCAAATAGAAACGTAAGTATAACAAAATGCTAATTTTAATTTTTTATTTTAAAAAAAAATTTTTTTTAGTAGCATATCCGGAATATTAAAAAATGCGCGATTACTCATGAATATAAAACTAGTGGCTAAACGCTTTCGCTGTATACAAAGTATAATTGAACATTACTGGAGATATCCAAAGTATAAAGTAATAATGATTCGGGAAGTCAGGAAGTGACAGAATTATATTACGTTTTACCAAAAGCACTCAAATAGCTTTAAAGAAACAACTTATACATAAGTGAAACCTGTTTACTGTCCCTTCCAAAAAAACCATAATGCACACAAAAAACCACAGGAAAAAAAATCTACCTCGTTCACTAGCCTAATTTATCTTATATTTGTCTAAAACGATGAGCTACAATAACTAGATTAAAATTTTAATGAAATCTAAAGACCATATACTCCTCTAAAACGCAAAAAGCAACATACTTCAGCAAATTTAGACACGCCATTTTCACCCGCAGTCACTTCATCTTTAACAAATTTTTCAGCAATTTCCATAGAAGTCGACATAGAATCAATTACACTATCAAGTACAGAAGTAACTGGAAAGAACGTAAAGTAAATGGCCATTGAAAAGAAATCAGAGGGCATAAAAAAAAGAGAGACCGCAGCCCATGATACTGAGAATTGTAATCACATCCAAAAATTATTTGACTTCACAAAAAAAATAAACCTAATATTAAAGAAACTGGCATACCCAAATCCTCCTCATTGATCTCATCTAATGTTTTTCTTGGGTGTAATGTCATCTGAAGACCATTAATAGTTATTTCGAAAGAACCCGTCGAGGACGTACCAAACGGCACTGACACATCAATTTCATCTATAAAACCATCCTCTATCTCTAAAGGGACGTTATTGGCCCTCAGTGATTGGTTAAGTAACTGAAAAAAGTCCGGAAATGATAATTAATAATAACAAAACAAGTAAGAAGTCCACGCTACAATCCCAAAGAGTAGTCACCATAAACAGTGTCTCCTAAAAACTTTATATGTTCAAGGTCTCAAAAGGATATCTGTTAATATGTATTAAAAGGCACAGTTGATGATGTTCTGAAAAACGGACTTACTTCTGTGTCAAATTCAACTGTTTTGACAGCTGCTGATCCTTTTGAAAGACTACACGAAAAATTGTTTGAGTCAATCTTTGTCTTCAAAAAGTCGCTCAAGTAACGGCGAACAAGAAAAGAGCACGCCCTATTCGCTATCTGATCCATGGGATTATACCTAAATAATATCAGATGCTCTGCTAAAAAGTTTATAATGTCACTGTTCGTATCTACAGGACAGACCTAAACTGCACTCTGTTTTGCCCGGCAAATCAAGTTCAGCAGAGCCACGCACAACGTCAGACAAGACCAATTATGATTGTAAAATAAAGTTGATGCTTACCTGCATGCTATACAGCGTAGAGAAGCACCTTTTTATCGGATATATTGTTTATACATAAATAAGTACAAGTGCTGCTTTCAGGACTGACTGTCTTTAATCAATTTTTAAGTACAGATTCACAAAATGGCCTTGCAAAACACGAGGGTCTCTGCACAACAATGAAGCATATGCTGTTTCTGAACTAGTACTAGAAAAAAAAAAAAGGAGACAGTACTAAAAAAAAATAGTAGCTTCCTTCCAAAAATTGAAGTTTCGAAAGTGATACTGTTTTTGAAAGATATTCAGCTGATTTATAAAACTACATGCTTCAGTACTACAACTGTGCAACCACGAGTGTGAAAAAAAAAGCCTCCTTGATGTGCTTATTAAATTTCTGAATTACTTCCGCTGCAATTACTTATTCCATTCATTAGACAACTCACAACACACGACAGAAAAACCCATTTTTTGATGGCGTTACTGTTTTTAACTGCTCAACTAATGTAGCAGTTGGTTACCTATTCATTTAAAGATTTCGTACTGCACACTTCTAATTTTTCCCGTAATCTTTTACTGTAAAAAGTTGTCTGAAAAGAAAAAAACCTTATCAGCGAAATGGAGCCCTAATTGCTCAACTGCACCCTGTATTACAAAAAAAAAAAAAGAAAAAAAAAATAGCCTTAAGTTCTCCCCCAAATTTTTGAGGAAGCATTGACAACGGATGAGACGCTAAACTAAAAAAAAACCGTAGACAAGGAAACTGTTGGTTGTTTCACCCATAATGGCGAAAGATTGTTAGAAGATTTAAATGAAACTAAAAAACGAATTATAATATTGTGGCACACCATGAGAACTATTTCCACCATCTTTGCCCAAAAGGCTCAAATTCTCCATTAGTTTCTCGAAATACTTTGGAGAGTACTAAACAATGCCTGTTTAAAAGAAGAAATACGGCGAGTAATTGCAAAGAGTTAAAATAAAATTCAGACAACTTCATTCTCAATTTGAAGAACATCCAGCAAACTGTAGCAAAATGAATAAGGCAAAAAAGACAGACTTTGGAATCATTAATAGAATAAAACGGCTGAAACAAAAAAATATCTGAAGTAAAATCTAATAAAAAGTGTAAGCAAACTAATAAACGGTAGGTAGAGAAAACGAAAATTCCTCTTAAAAAGAGACATCAAGAAGTTTAAGAAGAAAGTAACTAGAAGGGGAAAGTTAGACTTTAGCGAGGAATTAACCGAATAAAAAGCAAAAAAGTTCAAAAGACATTCTTAAGTCTGCAGTAAAAAAATTCAAAAAATTCCTGCAAAACATGATCACTTTTTCTGCTGTAATAAATCAGGAATTAATTCTGAGTTGACAGGAAACTAGAAGAGGAGCCACAAAGAAAACAGATCCCGTAGAGCACCAACCAGAAAAAAAATGAAAACTTACAAACACTTACATGCTCAACTCACAAAACAGTATTTCTCTTAAAATTTTCCACAACCAATCCGTAGACTAGTGGATAGTTGACAGCATCACAACCACTACCTCTTGCTCGTAAAGCCAATTACATACAGACGCTTAAAGGAGCATTTCAGACACCATCCTTACCATCAGTGAATCACCTGTCGCTATTTCAAAACAGAACATTTTCGCACTTAAACCTTAGTTATCAGGTGTTTCATTGGCAACAAGAACAACTGTCAAACGACGCAAAAAAAAAAAAAAAAAAAAAAAAAAAAAACAGAAGAGA